GGACGCGGGTGCCCTGTGCGCCCTGCCCGCCGCGCGTCCCGCGCCGGCCCGCCGCCGCTCACACCGCGCACAACGCTTGTAGCACTTTATTAAAATCCTCTGTTTACCTGTCTGCGTCCTGTAGCCTCTCGGCTCTTTGAGGCGCGCAGAGCGCCAGTCCAGCTTGGCACACCGTGGTGCGAGTCTGAGATTGTGGAAGGAAGCTTCGAGGAGGGAGGAGCGCTGGGGACGGCGGCTGCAGCTCAGGCTCCGCTCCCCTTCATCCCCCTCACCCAGGGCCCTGCATCTCCTGCCTCCCCCTCACAGTGCGCCTGGGCAGCATCTTCCCAGTCTCAGTCTCTCCCTGGGGGTGCTCCCGTCCTAGATGGCTTTCCCCAAACGCAGAGCCTGAGGTAAGGATTTGGGCGCAGGCAGCCCCGCTACCTAATCTGTGGGGCCCCAGGAAAAATGAAACTGGAGACGGGGTGGGGTGCTCAAAAATTAAGAATTTCGAGGCGCCAAAAACAGCTTTAAACCCAGCGCGGGGCCTACTGGGTGGGCGGGGTGCTGTGGCCTGCTCGGTCTTTCTCCAGCGAGGCCGGCCTGGGTGCAGGCCGTCTACTGGGGGATGCTTGGAGGAAGCGGGAGAGACACAAGGGAGGGGAAAGCCAGCAGGTGGTTAGTGCGCTGAGGATCGCTGAGAGTCCCTCAGAATCATCCCGGAGGGACTGGGGTCTGGGGTGTCCAACGGGCGCGCTACTGCGGCCACAGCCGCCCAGTCACCGGATCAGGGAGCGGCCGTGAACGGGAGGCCCGGGGCTGCGGGGGTGCGGTCGGAGAGCAACCTTCAGGGTTCTACGGCCCTTGGAAGACATCACCTTCCGCCGGGTTTTCTCAGTGAGGTGGAGACGGGGACGGCGCCCCAGCCGCGGGTGGCCCCCCAGCCCCGGCTGCCTGTCCTTGGAGCACCCAACGTCTGGTGAAGACAGCGGGGAAGCCGGGGCGAGGGGCAGGGTCTCCTCACGCTTGTCAGCGGCTCAGAGCCAGGTTAGTGCGGGGGGACCCTTGGAGGTCCCGCTTTATGGGGGAAAAGCTACACCGTAGTCATGCCACCGTGTAGAGTCATTCCACTGTCGAGGTCCCTTGGGTGCAGGCTGGGCTGGGGACGGGGAGGTGAATCTCAGCCCAGGGTCAGTGGGAGGGGTAGAACCTGAGGGGCTGTGAAGGGGCCTGGCCCCCACCTGGTGGTCTCCCTTGCAGGATTGCCCTGAGGGGCTACAAGGTCCCTGTAGCAAGAAGGAAGATATCCAAGCCAGGGTGGTCCCTGGGGAGGGCTCACCTGTTACGCACTCCTTTCTGTTATATTAAACAAACGGGGCGAAAGGGGAAGAAGAGTGGATCAAGAAGGCACCTGGTGGATCTGAGAGGCCCAGAGGCGGTTCTATCCGCTTGGGCTTCCGAAGGCCGAGTCAGGAGTCCGAGGCGTTTACCTCTCTGCATGAGACAGTACGCGGCAGCCTGAGGTAGCTGGGCTGGCTTCCAGTACTGCCCCAGTCAGAGCTGGAATGAAGGTTGTCTGAAGTCCTGGGAATATAGATTTATATGTAAAACATATACATATATGTGGAATCCCTGAGTGGTGGAAACTGTTAATGCAGCTTGGCCGAAAGGTTGGGGGTCTGAGTCCATCCAGCTGTGCTTTGGAAGAAAGGCTTGGTGATCTACTTCCAAAAAATCAACCACTGAAAACGCTTTGGAGCAGATCTACTCTGACACATGTGGGGTCACCATGAGTTCCAATCAACTCCACCGCAACTGGTGGTGGTGATTAGATATATACATATAGTGGCGCAGTGTTTAAGAGCTCAGCTGCTCACCAAAAGGTCGGCCGTTGGAATTCACCAGCTGCTCCTGGGAAACCCTGTGGGGCAGTTCTATTACGAGTTGGAATCGACTCAACGGCAGTGGGTTTGTTTTTTTGTTTTTTTTTGGTTCATTAATTGTTAACAAATGTACCACATAATATAAGACGTTCATAAAAACCCAAACCTAAACTGTTGTCGTCGAGTTGATTCCAACTCACGTAACCCTATAGGACAGAGTAGAACAGCCCCATTGGGTTTCCAAGGAGCAGCTGGTGGATTGGAACTGCCGACCTTTTGGTTAGCCGCTGAACTCTTAACTACCGAGCCACCGAGGCTCCAATGAACCAATACTGATACATTATTATTAACTAAAGTCTGTGCTTTGTGCAAATTTCCTCATTTCCCCCCGAATGTCCAGACACCACATTGCATTCAGTCATCATGGGCCTTAGGCTCCTCTGGGCTGTGACAGTTTTTGGTGACGTTGATAGGTTTGAGGAGTTCTGGTCGGGTATTTTGTAGGATGCCCTTCTGCTGGGACTTGTCTGATGTTTTTCTCATAGTAAGACTGGCGTTACTGGTTCTCACTGCATCACATTAAGGGTACATACTGTCAACACGGCTTGTCTCTGTTGGTGTTGACCTCGATCACCTGGCTGAAGAGTGTTTGTCAGCTGTCTCCACTGTGAAGTGACTCTTTCTCCACCGTGCATACTGTGCTTTTGGAAGGAAGTCACTATTCTCAGCCCACACTCAAGAAGTGGGGAGTTACGCTCCACCTATCTGAGGGCAGGGAATCTAAAGAAGTTATTTGGAATTCTTCTGCACTGGAGACTGGTCTCTTTTTTCCAATTTCTTTATTCGATCATTTATATCAACATGAACTCAGATTTGTTTTATACTTTGGGTTATAATCCCATACTATTTATTTTGTTGCTCAAATTGTTCCAGCTTTGGCCACTGGCAGCTTTCCGTTGGGTCCTGTGACCCTTTGACACTCCCCCCTCATTGTGTGTGTGTATGTGTGTGTGTGTATGTGTGTGCGTGTGTGTGTGTGCATGTATGTATGTATGTCTCTGTGTGTCTGTGTGCACGTGTCTGTGTCTCTGTGTGTATGTGTGGTGTGTGTGTGTGTATGAGTGTGTGTCTGTCTGTGTGGTGTGTGTGTGTCTGTATGTGTGTCTCTGTGTATTTGTGTGTCTGTGTGTGTGTGTGTTAAAACATTTCTTTACTTTCTGGAACTACAAGATACTCCAGTTCTAGAATCAGTCATTTCTCCAAGGAGCCCCGGTTCCCAGCTGGGTGCTGGGGGAGATTGCTTTTTTCTAGAAGCAAGTGGGATCTCCTTGGGCCCCTGTTCGGAAGTTATAGCATCTACCAGAGGTTTTAATCTATCTCAAAACTGCTCCTGGGAAATGGTCCCTGACCTCACGGCGGGCCCTGTCCCTGAGACTCTGTGTTCCCAGCCATCCTGAGCCCTGGGCCAGACTGTCTTTCTGGAGAAACATAACCCAGCTCCCTGCCTGTGGGCTGAGCTGGGTGCCTGTGGTCTGAGGTACAGCCAGCAGGGGGCTCCACTGCACGCTGGTGCCTTCCCGGGTGTCTGCAGCCTCTTCTCTGCGTAGGTACGAGGATGGGGCTCTTGGGTTTTCTGGGCTGGTCCCGATGTGGGGTGTCTTGTCCTGCTGTCCTTGCAGCCTGGATGTGTCTGGAATGCCCCAGCACTACAGGACCCCGACTGCCCCTCCCAGGCTGACTATCAAACGTGGGAAGGAAGCACAGGCATGAGACACAGATCCCCGGGGCTGGAGACCCAGGGCTTCTGTGGGGCCATGGCCCCAGGTGGGGGGTAGGGGTGTCCATTGTCCCTGTCAGGGACCTCGGGGGAAAGGCCACAGGTTGCAAGAGGATGGGGCAGAGAGTGCAGTCTGTCCTTTGCTGAACCCTTGCTGTCAAGGCGCTGGCTGAAGCCCCCCGCCTCTCCTGTGGGACCCGGGAGGGTTGGCACCACCCTTACCACACGCACCCACGGGGAACAGAGGCTCAGAGAGGACCCCCAACCTGCCCAGCTGCACCCACCCACGGCTTTGGAGGTATCTGTTTGCCCTCGGCTTCAGTCTGCTCTTGTGGGGGGCTGCAGAATGTGGAGGGAGCCCGAGAGGTGGGGGGACAGAGCTGGACTCCAGGATTGGGGGGTCCAGGTCCCCCACAGCTGCCTGTGTGCTGCCAGGACCAGCTACACAATCTGTGGGGCCCCTTGTTCAAAAAGTATGAAGAATTTCACGGTGGCAACAGCAGAGTGTTACAGAAGCGCGGGGCCTGTGGGCTGTGCTGTGCACACCTGTGACGGGGCCCGCTGCTGCCCAGCTGGGGGTGGGGAGCAGCAGTGGGAGAGCTGGGGTCTTCCCCCGCCTGCTGCTCCCTCCAGGAGCGCACACACCACCCAGACAGCACACTCATAGCACACACCACCCACACGGAACACTCAGCACACACCACCCACACGACACACAGCCCATACGGCACTCACATGGCACACTCATGGACCACACACCACCCACACAACACATTCAGCGCACACTCAGCACACACCACCCACACGGCACACTCACACATGCACACCCACACGGCACACTCACAGCCCATACAGCACCCACGTGGCACACTCATGGACCACACACCACCCACACAACACATTCAGCGCACACTCAGCACACACCACCCACACGGCACACTCAGTCTCACATCCACACGGTAACACCCATGTGCACACTCACACACACTCTTACACCCATGCACATCCCCATGCACACCCACACAGTCACACACACACCCCATTCACGCTCCTGTCATCTGAGCTGGGCCGACCTGCGCAGCTGTGACTCTTGCTGGTTAATAAAAAGCCCGGCCGTGGGGAGGGGCTGGCCAGGGGATCAAGTTCTGAAGCAGTTGCAGAGGGCCCCCCTCTGTCTGCACCACTGGAGAGAATCCCGCCTGACGCAGGTGCTGGACCATGCCCCAGCTCGTGGAATGTGTCCCCAACTTCTCGGAGGGGAACAGCCAGGAGGTGAGATGCCCAGCAGGCCGGCAGAGGGGCAGTGCGGGGTGCTCAGGCAGAGGAGAAAGGGGCATTCGTGGTGCAGGCTAGGGCTTGTCTTCTCCTGGGGCAGGTGCCGAGCCACGAGGACTATCTCTCCTTGGCCAAAAGGGGTGTGCCCATGTGCCTGGGGGACTTGAGAGTGACCTGACCCAGGTGCTGGAGTGGTCAGAGGGGGAAGGAGGGCCAGCGTGGGGAGAGATGGGGGCCCAGGAGTGGAGGCTGCTCTTCTTTGAAAATGAGGCCCCCAAAGGACTGGCCCCAAAGGACTGTTGGGAGGGTCCCATGGCGCGTGTTAACTCACTGAGTCCCCCCAGCCCTACAGGGTGGGTGCTGCTACTAACCCCACTTTACCAATGAGGAAACTGAGGCACAGAGAGGTTAAGCAGATCACCGATGGCCACAGAGCAGGATTTGGGTCCTGAGCCCTTGTTTCCAACCACTGGACAGTCCTGCCACGCTCCCCCAAGTTTCAGGGCCCTTCAGACCCCTACCCCATTCATCACCTGCCCCTCCCCCCACACACTTCAGGAGGCATATCCATTGAGAGGCCACTTGGGGGGCACAGGAAATGGAACCCTCTGTGACCTTGGGCCAGTTGGTCACCTTCTGGGAGCCCCGGCTGCCCCCCTCTGGGCATTGATTGTCGATGGGGAGCCCCC